CACGGCCCACGGAGGGGCTGCAGCGAAGAACTGTGGTGCAAATGGAAGTGCCTACTCGACCTCTTGACTTCCGCTAAGATGCATGGAGCAAAAACAGTCACGAAGAGGAAGGAAGTAGCACAACCACAGCGGAGGGGGCACGGAGGAGGGAGGACGAAGGGACATGCCTGTTGAGCCTGCAGAGCTGCCAGCAGGCCTGGCCCGGCCTTGGGGAGCCGGCTGATTAATAAGCACTGAGTAACTGAAAAAAAAAAAAAAAATAGTCTTGCTTCATGCTGGTTTTTGTTCCTCAAAACGGTGGCTTGAGACCTGCGTATTTAGAGCCCTGTCAGTGTCAAGGTAGTGCAATTTTGCATGTGAGTGTAATTGCAGCTGAACAGGTTCTGGTGATGCTGCTGGGTTGTTAAAGAAACGATTCTCCGTTAACACTGTGTGTACGGAAGGAACAATGCCTCCATGCTAGAACTGCAGATGTTTTACTAAAATACTTGGTTACTGTATAGAGTGGAAAAATACTTGGCTTTCTAAGCTTTCACTTTTTATGTATGTCATTGATTCACTAACAATCTTGGTAACAAGATTGGTAACAATTCTTGGTAACAGTATTTGTGTTCATTGCTGTGTTTGGCTAAAAGTTTGAAAGAGGGTCATCACAGTCTGTAAGAAACATGGAAGATTGCTGGAGGTCTGGCCAAAAATGTCTGGGAATCTCTGGTCTATGTCACTGAAGTGTTCTTTGAAAATATTACCCTTTTTCTGGGACACTTCCTTCTGTTTAGTTGAAGCAATGGAGATGAGGACAGTTGCTGATGTTACTAAAAATAAAATACAATAATCTCCAAACTTCGATATGCCAATAAAAGTGTTCGCTGTAATTGCAAGCATTATTTGGTCTGTATTAATTTACAAATGTGTAACTTGGCTTGTAAAAATAAAGGAGTGTATTATTGAAAGAAAATGTTCATCCTTTTAGCACAGGATTGGTGACTAGTTGCTGTATGTAAAAGCTAGTTACTAACATAAAGTATTCTGCAATTTGCTGCGCTTTATGTTCACTTCCTGTGGTTTTTTCTGTTATTTACCTAAGATATAGCTGGATACTTGTAAAAAAACAAAACAAAAAACCCCACAAACTTTAAGAATTGAAAATGTTCAAGTATTGGAAACATTTTTTGAAACAGAGTCCCTCAGAGTGTGTGTGTGTAAAACCATTTGTTTATCCATCCTGATGCCTGCAGAAGTTCTTAACTTCTCTTGCTGAAATCATGTGCTCAGCTAAGTGCAAGAACTTTCTGAAACTCAGCGACGGGAGAAGGCTCTTAGGCAGAAGTGATAAGCAACTGGACGCAGGAACATACCTTGTCTTCTTGGAGTGTTAACCGTTGCTTTATTTAAACCATACACTTGTTCCCTTAGCTTTTTGTTTGAGAGTCAGAAATGCACGTGTGCTTGCCTGATCATACCCAAATTTTCACACGGCTGGGCAGTGTCTATCCCTGACATGACTTTCCTTCCATCTAGCAAATATTGCATACATTAGGTTCAAGCATGCTTAGATTTTTTTTTTCATAAACAAGACATGACTTTTCAAGTGTTAAGAGTACTTAGCAAGTTGGTGTTGGCATGTACCATGTACCTGAACAGCTTTAGGATTGTTAACTTTGTAGTCACTTGACATTAATGCATTGCTGTGATATGCCACTTCACCTGCTAAGATTGCACACAAATATTACACACTAACTCTTCAAGGAAATGATTCAGAACGTAGTTCTCACCAACTGCTTCCATGTCAGTGTAACAAAATAATTAGCAGGTTTTGCTCATACCTCCATTTTTATAAGCTTAGTAAAATCAAATACCATCTTTTTTTTTTCTTGAGTTGTAGATGGATTAAATGATAGCCTAATAGCATGGTGTTTGCCCTTTTTTTTTTTTTTTTTTTTTCCCCCCTGCCCCTGCCATAAACTGTCATCTTTTCTATCATTTTATGGAAGTGAGGACTTTCAGAAGACGGCTTGGAGAGCAACCTCTGCAGCTAGAACCTCTGATTTGCAGTTTTTCTAGTGTTTGTCAGCCAAAGGTGTTGCAGGGACACGGTGGGAACCTACCCTCTGGAGAGAGGAAGCTGGGGTGTGACTTATAGTTAAATCATCTTCTCTGTAGGATTAGCTTGTAGCTGTGCCTCAGAATTGTGCTTTCCCCTGGTAAATGCAAAGCTGATTATCTGCTACTGGAAAGAGGAATACAAAACTTTGAATTACTTAACATTACACCCCAGGGAAGAAGTGCACAAACAGATACTACTGATAAGGTAACAGCCTGGGTTTTGTACTGCTGCAGCTTCTTTGTGTATCCATACATCTAGGTCCTGAGCCACTGATCTTCATAAATGTGATTGTGGTCACGTAGAAAGCCATTACTTTGTTGTTCTGATACAGCTTAGTTTTTCCTACACACAGGGTCCTGTGTAGGGGTTTTTTGTTTTGTTCAAAAAAAAAAAAAGCTGTGTAAACTTCCCTAAAAGCAGAAGGTGAGAATTTGCAGTAGCACTCCAAAGTTATAACAAAAATCCAAAAGCAAGATAACTGGAAGTTGTGATACACTGGTAAGACAAGGGGACTTTCTGACAGGCCCTCTCTGTGGAGGCCAGTTAACTGAGCGTGGTGAACAGCAGAGCTTTTCAGTTTGTGTTTACAGAATTAAGCAACCAAATCATAGAGCAGCTTTAAAATACACACAGTTTGAAGATGTAACGCATCTGGTAGAGAGCTGCTGTGAATGGAATACCCTACAGAAGA